CAAATCAACCCTCATGCCTAAGGCATAGATAGTTCGGGCATAAACCTTACGACGTCTAGCCCACCTCGGCATATAACAACAGGTTGATCTCATTTGAAGTTAGGCCCGATGGCTCGGCTCTAAGGGACAACCGACACCCAAGCGAGTAGCTCGTGCGCAGACAGGTTGGCTATACCCTACAATGTCCGCCCACCTCAGCATACAATATGCGAAGTTACCCCTACTCCTAGTCTAGCTCATTAGCTCGACAGTTCGGGGTAACCAACACTTAGAAGGAAGTTTTACTTTGGTTATCCCTACTCCTAGTCCAGCTCGTTAGCTTGACAGTTCGGGGTAACCTACACATTTCTACTCCTACTTGGTTTAGTTTGCTAGTTCGGGAGTTATTTACACTAAGAAAATTTTTGCACAAAGATAGTCAAAATGTTTGCATCTCATTGATATAAAATTTTGAGTACAAAAGGAAGAAAAAGTAGAAACTTTCATTATAACCCGAGCTCAGAGGCCCGGGGTGTACATCATAAGGGTCCAAGGAAAGAGGCAAGAATCATGCATTCGGACTACCAGGCAGGTCGGTCTCCATATGCTCCTTCGCATCCTCTCGACTTGATGGGCCCGCCTCGGGGACTTCATCGTCGCTTTCCTCTTCGGAGGAGCTGGGTTCTTTATTTGCCGCCTTCGCCACCTCAGGAGTAAGGTCAGACATAGAAACGACTCCGAGGTCCAGTTTGGGAAACTTCTGCCGCATTAGATATTTACATAGCTTGAAGCCGGATCGGTAAGAGCTTGATCCATATTCGACCTGGAGATTGTGAAACTCCAGAGACTCCTTGAAGCTTTCAATGGCGCGCTCTTTCTCTTCAGCTCGCGCCTCTTGAATGGCGGTCTTAAAGATCTCGGTGCATTCTCGGATCATTGCTTCAAGGTTCTCGTTCTCGCGCTGAAGCTTCCCCTACTCCTTAGTTAGTGCCAGGATCAGATCCTATTGACTCCAAGCTCCCTTCTTAGCCCGAAGAACCTCACCCCGAGCAATGTCCATCTCACGGTAAAGTTTCCGTGCCTTCTCCTCGGCTTCCCGAGCTTGCTTCAGGCAGACCTTAGACTGGTAGACCAATGAGTGAATGTGGCGGAGTCCACCTAGCAAAAGGAAGCAGAGGTAAGTACACTTAAAAAGCAGACAAGGAAATGAGGTATGAAGTTAGAGTACTCACCACCATACAATAGCTGGCAGCCCGACCTCCGAGCTGGTTTGTAGGCATGTTAGCCCACTCCGCGACCTCGACAGGAAATATGGCGTCCTTACTCTTGAGGAGCCCAAGCCGAGGGGTCATTATGCTCTCCCTTGGAAGCTGAGGCTCGGGTGCGGAAGTGCTCTCCGGTTCGCGAGGTAGAGCACCTTCGTCCTGGTTTTCGTCCAGGTCCACAATGGGAGGCTAGAGACGGACCTCCTCCTCTGGAAGCTCGACAGAGATCGGCTCTGGCGCAGCAACCTCGGGCGGAACGGGGGCAGAAGGACTGGCCTCCCAGCGAGCCTTCTTTGAGGCCTTCCTCTTCTTTCCTCTCTGGAAGCTCTTCAGAAGGTTCTTTGCATCGACCTCCGGCATGGCTACTGCAAGAGGAAAAGAAAAGGTTAGTCACGAACTAAAGAAAATTCAAAGTAAATAAGTATCGAGGTGGAGGCCTACCAGGAGGGCTCAACCCAGCTCGCACAAGCTTCTCTTCGGCCAAGAAATCTTTCATCTCTAGGCTGAGGTCCCTCCAGGAGCTAACGACCACCCTAGTATCCGCATCTAAGCTTACCCCGGGGTCTTTGATAGCCACCCTCCAGTGAGTCGGGAAGGGCCATCCCTCAGGGTTCCGAACAAAAAAGTATCTTCTCTTCCAGGCCGGTGCTTTGTTCGGGCTACCGAATAGGATTTTGAACCTGGACCGAGGAGAGATGTAGTAACTTTGTCGGACGTCCTTGCGCAGACAAGCGGAGTTCTTTTTTATTGAGCAAATCGAACTAAAAACATCTAAGGACAGAGGTCGGTTGTACTCGTGGAACAGGGAGATGGTACCTACTATAGTTCGGATGGAGTTCGGGTGTAGATGGTTGATGGTGATGTAAAAAGACTTGATTATTTCTATAATAAATGGGTGGAGCGGAAAGCGTAGCCTGGCTACGAGCTGTTCTTCGAAAACCGCGAGCTCATGGTGAACATGAACACAAGGGTATTGACCTAAAGGAATACTAAAACTAGGTTATCAGGAAGACGATAACGAGCTACCAAGGATAGCAGCCTGTTCGAGGTCATAGTAGAAGGCCCGAAGTCATCCGGATCCCGATCCCGAGAAGAAGATGGGACCTCCTCTCTGGAGGTCAGTCCCTCCTCCTGAGCTACAGGCTCCTCAGGCCGAGATGGCCCAACTTCAGGTAAAGAGGTTTCCTCTAAGGGGCGAAGGGGGGAACTACCTAGCGAGGAGCTGACCTCGCCAGTGGGAGCCGAGGACTGCACCTCGGCACCCTCGAGCTCACTAGAATCGCCAAGGAGCGTATCTATGCTAGCACTAGACATGTTGAAACAGGAACAAGAAAGGAGAACAAATTAAGAAAAGACGAACTCACCAAAAAGAAAACGACCTAGGAATACAAAGGAGGAAGTAGCGAGCTGAAGGACTCCGACGCGACCTCGGGAGAGCTCAATCACAGGATTTTTGGTGAAGAAGAGGGGCCCCTCGGCCCCCTATTTATAGTTCACTGCGAGGCGATCAACGGCTGAGACCTGCTCGATCCAATGGCTTTCATGAAAACTGATTGCATGACGCCCGAGGATGAAATCGGTTGAACGCGTTTTTGACATTCGCGGAGTCCATAAACAACGTGACGTCCGCGCGTACACTCGACGTGACCTGGGTTATTACTGGTTGAGCCGGAAGTTCGAACGGGTCCGACCAAATGATTCGCCCGGCAAACCGCCTAGACCTCGTGCCAAATCCACCTGGACTCATCATGAACTCCCCACACCGGGTCGAAACCCCTGGCTCGGGGAGTGGGGGGCAATTGATGAAGGGTGATTTGGCCTGACCTAGTAGGAAGGGGACACGTGGACATGACCTGACTAAGAGATGACAGCTCTGACATGCCTAGTTCGCAACAGATGAGCTTAGATATTCAATCACCTTGCCACAGGGTCACCTCGGAACAGGGTCATCTCGGCCCCAAGGCACTTCGGCATTTAATCCAATTTAGAAACTAAAAGGTATCAGCCCGGGGATACCGACTCGGACCACTACGTGACGATCCCGGAAATCTCTCCAACAGACCCTGAACCTCGCGGGGTCACGCCGCGTAACGACAAGCTTTATCTCCTCCTCGCCCGGTTCGGGCAGAATTGATAAACTTTATCAGTTGATAGCGTTATCCCCCAATTAAAGCGGAAATGGATCCCATCATGACGAAGATCATGGAACCGATCCGCAAGACCCGCGAGGATTCAACTATATAAAGGCTCCAACCCCGAGGGCACAAGGTACACGTGATTTTCTGCTCTCTGGCTCTCTAGCTCTCTACATTCTCAAAGCTCTTCAGCTCGCATTAGATATCTAACTTAAGCATTGGAGCGATCTCGCCGGGTTATCCACCCCGGGGTCTCTGATCTTGTCTTTCAGATTCACCTAGCCCGTCGTCCGACTGGAAGTCAAATCACCCTCCAGTAGGGAGCAATCAAATCGCGCTACATCAGTAATCAAAGGAAAAATCATACTCCACACATGATATTCGTTAGTCAATAAGCAAATTTCCATGTAAGATTGTAGAATACTTGCGATTTTGATGATGTTGCAAATCTCCGTTGCTCAAGTTAATGGATTTGATGTCTTCGGCATATTGTAATGGAGTGGTTGGCCGTCCGGATTTTTATTTCGCTACTTCCATGGTCGGATGCATTTGTCCCACCACACAAGCACCCCTGTATTATAAGGTTAGTGAGAAAGACCCCTACATAAATACCCCTTGAGCTTTAGTCATTACTCATTATACAAACCATCTATTGAAAAAGATGGTTTATTAAATGTACAAATTACCCTTTTCTAAGTTATTTTATCCTTTTTTCCTTTTCTACTATGATCTTCATTCCCATTTACTTTACTCTATATTCATGATGGCTTCACGGTATCAACCCTATGTGCATGTCTCTTTGAGAGGGATTCATGGATTAGGGGTCGTGTTGAGCCTTTCACGAGCTATTCAAGCTCGACTTGTGAGGTTCGTTAGCCTAGTATTAAATAATCTAATTTTTATTATATATACATATATACATATATATAATAAATAATTTTATTATATATAATAATATTTTTATTTTTTATGTATAATAGTAAATAATTTTTATAATTTGTATTTTCTTGTATGTAAAATAAAAATAAATTTTATAATTATTTTTTGTATAAAGAATATTAAATAATTTTTATAATTCTTAATTTTTTTGTCTAAAAAATAAAAGAAATAATTATATATACAATTTTTATTTAAAAAAAAAACTTGGCTTATAGTTAATTCGAGCCATGCCTAGCTCAAACTTGCGAGCTATGAACCAAGCCAAGCTTGCGCTCAAATCGCTAGCTCGACTTAAGCTCGAACCTGATACTATTCCTACGAGCGGAGCTCGAATAGCCAAGTATTCTGCTTAGATGGCTCGAAACTATTATGACATCAAGACCACGTGCCAACTAACTTCTCCACTTTCTTGATCTTGATCTTGGTTCTTGCCACTTGCTCGACAAGCTATTAGGCCATCAATTGTATTTATAAATACCGTCGTGTACTACTAAGAAACATTAACAAAGTTTTGTTTTTTCATCACAAGTTGCACTGAGCCTTGTACTGTTGCTCATCGCAACCTTTTCTCATCACAACTCTATAATTTGTCATGGTATCAGAGACTATAGTTTGATCGACCGTTGCATCTTGGTTTCCCCAATAACGCTTGCAACTCTATTCTTCATCAGATCACGAGAAAATGGTTGTTAAAAGTAACGGGTGTAGAGACACGGAGATTAGAGACGTAGACTACTCTGATCCTACGTCTCCATACTATCATGGCACCTCAAACAATCCTGGCATGGTGCTGGTCACCACTCTACTGAACGGTGACAACTATCTGACTTGGAAAAGAGCAATGACTAATGCTCTTTGGGCAAAGAATAAGATCGGTTTTGTTGACAACACAATCTTGAAGCCTGATAAAACAAAACCAACAAAGCTTTTTGCCTGGAAGAAATGTAATTCGATGGTCATATCCTGGATTTACAATGCCTTAACCAGAGAATTACATGACAACGTTGCTTACATGGATGATTCTCATGTAATCTGGTTGGATCTTAAAGAAAGATTCTCGCAAGGAAATGCTCCCTGTGTCTTTCATTTAAAACAGGAATTAGCTCTGCTCAAACAAAACGACCTCTCTATTTTAATGTATTACACGAAGATGATGGCGATTTGGGATGAACTCTCAATTTATATTCCAACACCAGTCTGTACTTGCTACACATGTGGTGTGATGAAAGATCTAGTAGTAGAACATGAAAAAAATCATGTTTACCAATTTCTCATGGGTCTGAATGACCACTTCAGTACTGTTCGCTCCAACATTCTTGGAATGGAGCCACTTCCATCTGTGAGCAAGGCATATGCCTTAATTACAAAAGAGGAGAAACATCAGTTAGTTTCTGGGCAATGGAACCCAACGATTGAAGCAACAACCTTCCATGTAACTGATCAGGCTAAAGGTGGTTCCAAGAAAGCCAAAGATCGACCAAAGCTCCGTTGTGATCACTACAAAAAGACGTTACACAACAAAGATATCTTCTACAAACTCGTTGGTTGTCCTCCTAGCTAGGATGTAAAGGGAAAATCTGGCATGAACAAAACCCATTATCAAGAAAATAATAATACCAACACTCTAAGGCCAAGCTCAAATGTTTCAAATGCTTTAGATTCTTCACCGATAGCAAGCCTCATAATGGAACGGTACCAACAAGTCTAATAAACCAGTGATTTCTTCAAATTTTGCTGGTAAGGCCTCTAGTTTACATTGGCTATTTGAGTTAGGACCTTGGTTATTGGACAATGGTGCATTAGACCACATGGCACCATCAACCATGAATCCAAATAATCGCACTTTCCCTGCACCCATCAATCCAATCCACTTGCCAAACATATCTATAATGCCAGTACAATCACAAGCCGATTTGGAACTATCCCTGGATTTGTTCCTACGGGATGTTTTATTCATGCCAAAGTTCAAATACAAGTTATTATCCGTCAGCAAATTGACCTTATAACTTAATTGTGTTGTCTTGTTTTTGCCAAATTTCTATGTTATACAGGACTTGAGCTCCAAGAAAGTGATTGGACTCAGTCTGATAAATGATGGTCTGTATTATCTTCTACCTAGTCCGCCATTCGTGGTTTTTCACGCTGCACATGATGTTGACTCGAGACTGTAGCATTCAAAACTTGGACATGCTTCTTATCAAAATATTGCTTTATTTATGATTTACATATTACTGTTACTTGATGTGACATTTGTATGAAGGCAAAGCAGGCTCAACATTGTTTTCCCATTAATAAGACTCGCGCTACGAAATGCTTTGATTTGATACATGTAGATATCTGGGGTTGATACCGTATTCCTTCACTTACAGGGGCTAGATATTTCCTTACTATTGTGGGTGATTATTCACGAGCTACATGGGTTGGAATTTCTATCTGGCCCTATGCAGACATACTTTATTGAGAATGGCATACTCCATCAATGTTCGTGTGTTGAAACTCCGCAACAAAACGGAGTGGTGGAATGGAAACACCGTCATATTCTTGAGGTGGCTAGAGCCCTCTGATTCCAAACAGGTTTACCAATTCAGTTTTGGAGGGAGTGTGTTCTTACAACTGCATATCTGATAAACTATCTACCCACTCCTAACTTATCTGGTAAAACCCCATATGAAATGTTGTTCCAAAGGCTACTTGTTTATGATCATCTATGCCACAACACATAAACGTGGTAGGGATAAATTTAGTCCACGTTCACAACAATGCATATTCACCGGGTATCCTCATGGCGAGAAAGGTTATCGTGTTTTTAATCTTGAAACGAAACAAATATTACTCTCAGGATGTAATATTTTTTGAAGATCAATTTCCGTTCAAGGCTGTCGATCATAGAAATGTTGATACTTCCACTACTGTAGTAGTCCCTGTTCCAATCACAGATGATGCCATCTCTCGATTGGAAACAATCAATGGCGATAGCCCCCATGCAACAACTGATGATGCCAATGTGGATTCATCTCAAGGCCCATTTCATCAAGATGATGATACAAGCCCGATCTCATCACAAGAACTGTATGAAAACTCCACAAATCAAATTGGGGCTGCAGAACCATCACAATCACAACCATGTGATGGGCTTGTCGGGCCTACTCACACCAATGAGAATGCCCAATCCAATTCTAGGCCCATCAGAATACGTCAAGCACCCACCAAACTGAAGGATTTCATTTGCCCCACCATCAAATATGGACTACAAGTTACCAAATCAACATGTAATACAAGTCATCCAATTTGTAACTTTCTCACCAGTCTTCATTCAAGCTCTACTCCATCTGGCCTATCCTCTGAACCCACCACCTATCAACAAGCCAACCAACATGCATGTTGGCGTAATGCCATGGCAGTTGAACTTGATGCTCTTGAAGCTACCAAAACTTGGTCTCTAATAGATCTTCCTCTTGGAAAAAAGCCTATTGGTTGTAAATGTGTCTACAAAATTAAGGCCAATTTTGATGCTGGTATAGAGCGCTACAAAGCGCACATTGTAGCCAAGGGCTACACCCAAACTGAGGGCGTGGGCTACACTGAAACCTATGCACTAGTTGCTAAACTCATCATTATCCGTTGTCTATTAGCTTTAGCAACTACATGGGATTGGCATTTACATAAGATGGATGTAAACAATGCTTTCCTTCATGGTACTCTACATGAAGAAGTATATATGCGGCCCCCTCTGGGCCTCCTTCCTCTAGGTGACAATCGTGTTTGTAAACTGAACAAGTCAATATACGAATTGAAAAAAGCATCTAGAAATTGGTTTGAAACTCTAACTCATGCACTTAGGCAAAGAGGGTTCTCTCAGTCTTCTGCAGATTATACTCTATTCACTTTTCACAAAACTAGAGGCACTTTGATTATGTTAGCTTAATGTGGATGACTTAATCAGAGCCAGAGATGATCTAGTCAGCATTAACTCACTTAAAAAATAACTCAGTCACTACTTTCCCATTAAAGACTTGGGTCCACTCTGATATTTTCTGGGCATTGAGATCTCTTGGTCTCCTTCTGGCATCTTCCTAAACCAGTGCAAGTACACACTCAACATTCTCAAAGAAATGGGGATGCTTGAATGTCGTCCAAGTCCTTTTCCTATGGAGTAGCAACATCATTTTGGCTGAGATTCTGGTCCTCCCATACCACACCTAGATTAGTATAGATGCTTAATTGGGCGCCTGATATACTTCACCATCACCAGACCAAAAATCACCTATGCAGTGCATATCCTCAGTTAATTGATGAGCGATCCACGCCATGAACACTTGGATGCTACTATGCATGTTCTATGGTATCTTAAGTCTTCACCTGAGAATTAGGTGTTTTTTTTCTTCTAAATTTGATCTTCTTATACGAGGATAATATGATTCAGATTGGGCAAGATGCCCATCAACAAGACGGTCAACAACCGGTTACCTTACTACTTTGGGTTCCTCCCCTCTGTCATGGAAATCCAAGAAACAACCAACCATTTCTCACTCTTCTGCCGAAGCCAAATACAGATCAATGGCGGCAGCTACAAGTGAGTTACTTTGGCTTAAACGCTTGTTTGCTAATCTTGGACTACAACATCTACAGCCTATTAGCTCTTCTGTGACAACCAGACTACTTTACACATTGCCGCCAATCTAGTTTTTCATGAACGGACAAAGCACATAGAGATTAATTGTCATTTTATCTGCTCTCATCTTCAAGTCCACACCATTGCGACAAATCACATTCCCTCTAAGTCGCAACCAGCTGATTTATTTACTAAAGCCTTGGGGCGTAATCAATTTACTTTTCTCTTATCTAAGTTGGGTGTTCAACCTCTTGCTCCAACTTGAGGGGGAGTATTACGACATCAAGACCACGTGCCAACTAACTTCTCTAGTTAGCACTTTCTTGATCTTGATCTTGGTTCTTGCCACTTGCTCGACAAGCTGTTAGGCCATCAATTGTATTTATAAATACCGTCGTGTACTACTAAGAAACATTAACAAAGTTTTGTTTTCTCATCGCAAGTTGCGTTGAGCCTTATACTTTTGCTCATTACAACATTTGCTCATCGCAACTTTGTAATTTGTTAGAAACCATCCCTACTGTGGATCAAGTTGAGTCTGAGTGTGTTTCTCTATATTCATGACGTCTTTCTGAGCACCGGTATTGTTAATTAGTAATATGGCGATTAGAAGAGCAAAGTTGAGAGGGGAAAAACTAGTGTTCTGGTGATTTTTGTTGTTTTTCTATTTTATTTGTAGTGTTTTGGCTTGTTTCAGAGTGTGCATTTCGTTTTGTTCTAACTTGGTTACTTGGGTTGTGAAATGGCTTGCAGTTTGCTAACTGGAGATTTTCTGTTCCTTCAACCTACAGGGAGGAAGATAGAACGAAAACCAGAGACACTCTTAATACCACAATCATCTTGTTGAAGGCTCCCTGATTTCAAACAATCTATTAAGCTGAAATATGTCAAGCTCAACTACCATTATCTCATCACTGGCCCGTGGTATGCATCTCTTAATCATGCCTACGGTGGGCATCATTACTACCCAACTACTAACATTATCGTTCCAAGACCTGTATCTCCTATGAGACCATCTCAGGTTCAACCTCATTTCCGTGATCCTTTGCTCCACCCTCCTCGTCTTCTTATCTACAATCTACTTCGTCACTTGACCAAGGCCTCCCTACCTTGGAAATGCACAAGGCATATTTTCATTGAACGATCCACCCTAGCAGGCACCTTCATTGAAAAGAACCTTGAATTTCAGAAGAAGATCCTTGAGAGGTCTAGTTTCTGTGAAGACACTTACCTCTCAGTTGCTGTTCTCCATGTCCCTCCCAACCCATCAATGACAGAGGTTAGAAAAGAGGCCGAGACTATGATGTTTGGAGACTTCGACCAGTTCTTTGCTAAGACTTGTTTAAAACCCAAGGACATTGGTGTCTTGATTGTCAATTGTAGCTTGTTCAATCTGACCCCTCTCTGTTTGCAATGGTCACCAACCCTTATAACTTGGTACAGTTTGTCGCAAAAGAAAAAAAAGTGTAGGAGGTCATTGTCATTGACTTTGACCCCATAGTGTAGGGGGTCCTTGTAATTTACTCGATCAAGTAGGAGTCGACCACCGTTGCTTGAGTCACTTCTACTTGGTGCTCAGCTAGCCTTATCCGGTTGGTATCGTTGAATTAGAGGTATATGCAATGTAGTGTTTTCAAACTATTATTGACCTAGACAGTTAGGATCGTTCGACCCAGGAACTGTCCAAGCAACTAGTTCCGTTTTACCCCAAATCCTATCCTTGGCCAAAAACCGTTAAATTGGTCAACGACCCATTGACCTGGTGTTAGCACCCAATTTTTTCTCAATCCCTTTACTCTACCTCTTTGCACCCCTTCTTAGACCCTGAAAACTTACATCCAGATTGACTTGAGACTTGCCAAAACCCAAAATACCCTCCTTTGATACAATCCACAAGACAAATAAAAACCTTGAGATCAATATCAATGTCCAATCATACATCACCCTTA